ATATGCTTATCTTGTGTGCATTTTCTTGACATTGAAGGAATGGGAACAACCGAAATCTGCTAGGAGACCAGATATATTTCCCCAGTTTAGCCCAATGAAAACACCTTTACCGCCTCCACTGCCAGCAGATAAGAAGACGAAGAAGAGGAAGAAAAGAAAGAGGAGGAAGAAGGGGATGAAGATCCAGACAAAGAAACCCCAGAAGACCCAGGGCAGCAGTAGATATGCATCAAACCAGAGTTTGTGGAGCATATTTCACTTGTATGTGCTACTGCCTTGTGCGTTTCAAAGCTTTGCCAAGTTGCGGATGCAAGTGCATCTGGTATAACACTTGTTGCTACTTAGATATATATAAATAGCAATGCCTTTTTGTTAAGCAAATCAAAATCTTGGTTAATCAGAGTTGCGGGATTTTTGCGTTGTTTCATATTATGTCTCCATTACACAAAAACAGATCTGCAGGTTGTGCGATATAAGAGTATCAATCTCGAAACCTCATTGATATTTTTGAGAATAACAAACCAAAGCAAACAAGGTAACACTGCAAAGAAAGCTCAAAAAGACAGATCAGAAAAGCTTCAGATTAGACAAACTCAATTTATTTAGACTGGGTCATAATGTTACACACTGAAATTCACTCAAGCTAGATCTAGCGCACATTAGAAACTAGATCATCGCATAAATTGCGAGACGTCAACACAATCGAGTTCATAATTACAGCTCAAGATCTATATATTGTATCCCAGCTTGGGGTTGGATAAACCCACTCATTTCTTCCCACTTTTCTTGAGCCCAGCACCTCCGAATGACCCCTTCTGTTGTGCCTTGGCTCTAAGCTCCTTCAGTGCCTGTTTATCACAAGCATGATAATTTCATCAATAATCTATCAAAACACTCAATAAAGGAGCCTAATTACTGTAAAAATAAACCTACCTTTTCCTCATCTTTTTTCTTCTGAAGGTTGGCCAAATCAGACTGCACAACAGGAGATAAAGATTCTTATTGCAAGGGATATAAAAAGTAAGTTTAAAAACCACTGAAAAGCAAGCTAACTACTTCAGAACTTGAACATGTATTTGTCCAACCATGAACTTCAATGCACGGTGATATAACAAACCACCATGGGCAATAATAAGTATAAAGATTCAAATATAAGTGCAGTTGAGAACAATTCAGCTAACATTGTTTCAGCAGCTCCTTTGCTTCTCAATTCAAAACATGCAAGATTCGATAGAGTGGCAAAGGAGTCATCAAATAGGAGAGCATGTAATGTACAAGGTAACACAAAATATGCTCAGGTTTGGGGGTCGGGGGAAAGGGGCAGAGACAGCGTTTTTCAAACTACAAGTCTAAAACAACGTTCATACTATTAGCTGAACATCGAGCATCTGCTAGTCAGAGAAACAGAGCGAATCCATTTTGTTGAACACAAATTTCCTTGGTTACCATACTAAACCTATCGAGAAATAGTTATTTGCATTATTGTTTCCACAATCAAATCCGACGTTACAAAAAACAACATACCATTCTTTCAATAACTTCAATTCCTACAAAATACAAACTTTACGGAAAAGAACTAAATAACATCACCCTGCTCCTATCTAGTGATTAATCAAACACAATAACGAGTTCAGCTACATACTAATCCATTAAGCATAAGTTTTAACCAATAAAAGGGATTTTTAAATCTCAACATACAGTAAAAAGAAATTCCGAGCTAAAAAGATCCAGCCAAAACACAAATCCTTATCCACCTAAAACATAAACCTAATCATTCCTTACCTCGTCGTACTCCTTCTTATCGGCCTTGGGTGCCTTCAAGGGCTTAGCTTTTCCACCTAAAAAACGAAACACAATTTCATATTTCTGGGCTCGAATATCCAAACGAAAGCTAACGAATTTCTAGGGTTTTTAACCCAATTTTATGGTTTACAAAAAATTGGAGTCGGAATTGCGAATTGAAACTTGAAAATCTAGGGTTTCAATCGTAAAGAACATACCTTGCTTGGAAGACATGGCTGCGATCTAGGGCAAAAGTCTTGCTCGGTTGGAATTGGGAGCGACGACAAATCCACAGGACAACCCTATTCGCAATAATACGCAGTTGCTATTATTTACGAGTGGTTGGAAAATCACCAATATATATTCGATATTGCACGTGCTCATCACGTGCGTGAGGCAGCCCTGTCTTTTGATCTGGCACGAGTCAATCCTTTTGGTCATATATCTATAATAACTATTTTGTAATAGGAGGTATCATGTACGATTTGTTAACACGATACGACATTAAAGGAATCGACTTATTAGCGGTTTGTCAAAGTACGTATCACATGGGGTAAAAATAAAATAATTTTTTCTGTACCTGCAAGATAGAATGATTAGTGAATACCAAATAGAGTCTAAATGAATTGAAAGCAACAAACTTTCATCAATTTGCTTAAAACAATCAAAGTTCCAAATTTATACTGAGTTAGGCTTAAGCAAATTAAAACAAATGAACTCTGACCAAAACCTTGAAATTGATTTGAAGCTCTGGTTTAGAGTGAAGATTTTCTTGAGAGTTTTGATATTTTTTGGTTGAAATGGGAGAGGTTATGAATCAAAATGCAACGTTTGCTTGCTTATGTATTATGGTTAATCCTAACAACTCAGTAGAAATAATTGAATTACGTAAGATTTGATTGGTAAGTCATAAGTATGGGGATTTAAGACGAATCCAAAACTCAAATATGTTCAGTTGAAAGACAACCATGCCTTCCGTGGTTGATCCATCCTTTCAAACACTAATTGCTCATATAATACCTTGAACCGCAAATATTGGTTTATCGTGATGGATAGGGCATTCATTTGCAACTCAGGATTTAAATCATCACTTTTTATTTAGTCTAGCTTATTAAAGTAATATCTCTTTTAACAAAAATCGCTTCAGTCCTACTTGGATTTAAAAAAAAAGGAGAGATTTTCCAATGGGCTAGGAATACGGGATGGTACACCATATGTTATTACATAAGTAGCGTGAAGTTTTTCTTTTCAAGTGTCTCTCTACTTGTACAATGACCTATGACGTATATGCACGGGTTTCGGACACACGAAAAAATCTCTCCGTAAAAAAAATAAAAAAATAACTAATTGGGCCAATCCACACTATTTTAAAGTATTGAAACAAGGCTCAATTATTTTGAAGTCCAATGCGATATTGGGGTGCTATGAGTAGGCCCAATTCTAGTTTAGGCCGAAGAATTGAAGAATCCTAACCTGATAATCACACAAGCTTATGGTTAAAATAACTGCATCCCATCCATGAGCAACTAGTCCACCTTAAGCCCATCCCAACGAATGTCACTAGAACAAGGCTTCATGTTAATCTTCAGTTTACTGTTGTTTTTTTTTTTGGATTACAATTTTCAATGTAGTTATTGTGAGATTAAGTTTACCATCCCTTAGAGCAGTTTCACTGGGGAACTGATAGGCTAGCACCCAACCAAAAAAATGGCTCGGCACCTAGGCTTTCCCTTCCAGCCCAGCAGATAGGCTGGCACTCAGCCCAAGCCAGGCAAGAGACCGGCTCAAAATCGACAGATCCAGATGCCGAGCCATCTGACGTCAGCTGGGCCATCAACCGTGACAACCTCCGATTCCGAGCTGCAGCATAACAGAACAACGATAAACAAACCCAGAAAGCAACCTGGCAAACCAAGAAAAACCCATATCACAATTTGCAATACCGAGCTCAAGAAATTAATTTTTTGAAAATTTGGATAGGAAAAGGAGGCCACCTTCCAATAGAACCCATGAGGAAAAACTAGTTTTTGTGAGATTTGTTGGCTGTTTGGTTAATTTTCCGGGAAAAACCAGCTGAGGATGGAAAAGGTGGGGTGAGGAACCTTACTGCTGCTATGGTGTTTTATTTTTCTGTGGGGAAGACCGGAAGAGTTCCTTAAATCCAAATGGGGAGAGAGAGAGAGAGAGAGAGAGATGCAGAGGGAGGTTCCAGGGAGCGGTGCGACATGGTGAGGTTTTGAGGGGGAGTGGGAGCGATGGATTAAATGGGGTTTAATAAAATTGATAATATTTTAATAAATCAAATTATTATTTTATAATAAAAATTAATAATATTTTAATAAAATTGACTAGGCTATTTAGTTCTAGGGGTGGAGATGCTCTTGGCCTATTACTGTTTATTGGGGTCTATCACTGTTCATTGAGTGGATATATACGCTGGGTGCTAGTGTGAAGTCTTTAGGGGTGAAATTGCTTTTAATGCAAATAATATTGTTTGTTCGAATTTTTTTGTAAAAAAATAAAAAATAAAAAAACCGAATTGAAAATTGAACTCGTTTGATATCAACTATCATTTATCAATAAAAAAAATGAAACAAAAACTAAAAATGAAATAATTTTCAAATTCCCTTACAAAAACAATGTTCATATTTTTTTTTGCCGTAGAACAATGTTTTTGTTGACAACGGAGAACAAAGCTTTGAAAAAAAAAAAAAGAGACAACTACTTTAAAATATCACGAAGTCAAGTGACTCCAATCAAGAACCTATAAAATATAAAAAAAGGGAAGATGACAAGCATATATGGTGCTCAAAATTTAAAAAGAGTTTGATGACTCTAGTACTAATGTATATAAAAACGTTACGTACTATAATAGGACCATGTGTTTTGGTTCAATACGGAATATTTCTTGGTCCCGAAAACTTTGGGGCTCACAGGAAATTAAGTGGCATGTAAGAATTAAATTTTTTTTTTTTTGCAACATGGAAGAATTAATTGGGTAAACTATTAACTACGATTGCCTCCTTGTTTTTCAAGTCTACGTGTTCCATAAGTTTTCTTCCTTACCAAGTTAGAGCTCCTTCTTTATATAAAAGAGGCTTTTTGTCACAAAGAAGACAACGGTTGACTCAGTTCTTTTTGTTGTATTGCTTTCACTGTGTTAAAAAAAAAAAAGCCCGCTTTGTGCATTTGTTGGGTTTTTTTTTTTTTTTTCCTGGGAATTTTGTTGGCTGGTTATATATATATATACACACACATATACTGTGGGTGGTCGATATGCCCTAGGTGGGGCATTATTCACGAGGCCGAACAACTTTCAGGAGCTTTTGTCCTGGGTTTCTCAGTCCCTTTCTGCACCTTCAACATTTGATTCTACTGTAAAATCCAAATCACATCTCTCTCTCTCCCTCAGTCTCTGTGACTCATTATTATTTTTATTTTATTGGGTTACGAATATATTAAACAAGATTCTTTCATCTCCAACGTCACGATTCTTCCTTCTTTGTCAACCCATCTTCTTCTTCTTCTTCTTCTTCTTCTTCTCATGATCAATCCATCACCATGGTATGCTCTCTCTCTCTCTCTCTCTCTCTCATATGTATATGTTTATTGGCATGCAGTCTTCTTTCTCTTTTTCTACTTTAATTTAATATCAGCAAGATTTGTGGTACCCTTTTGTGTTTGAATGTTTGAATGCATGTGTGTCACTCGGATGATTTCAATCATTTGATTATGTGTGCTTTGCTTAATGCCACTGGTTTTCACTCAACATGGATTCATTTCTGGTAATTGCCATCTAATTCTTTTAGATCATAGTTTGGACGCAGCAGTAAACATGTACCAATTTTGAAATTATTATTTTGTCATATATAGTAGTTACATACATCTGATCAATACTTTCGAGTATTAGGTATATGCAAGTAATTTCATGTATATATTAGGCCTGAAACTCCCTCTCGAGTCTCGACCGGTTAAAATTTTAGGAGTCTGAAAATTAAGCTGATTAAAAGTCTTTAACAAGTTCAAAATTTGGCTATTTTTAAAAATGTTTATTTTTAATCAGTGGCAAGTAAACATTTTTGTTAATAACAATTTTGACAGCCTGTAATGCGAGTGATGCTTGGATCACTGGTGAGCCTTGTGACGGCATTGATATCCCGGCCGGCAGCTACTACCACAACCTTGCTCTACCACAGTGATCTCCTCCCTCGAAATTTCAACTCACGGCAAAGGCGGTTAGAGCGATTGGTTCAACGAGACTATCTCGTTCAAGAAAATTGCCTTTTCAGCTCTCTCATCAACGTTTTGAGATGTTTTTGGTAGCATACAACTTGTATATATAACACAACATGCGTTTGGGTTAATCACTGTCACGTGATCGTTAGGGTTTTTATTTGTATAACATGGTGTGGTGGCAAATGACACCATACTTGTGGAGTTGAGTTGGCAAAAAATTTCCTTATGTAATATGCCTTGAGCGAGTGCAGATTTTGCTTGGTTGAACCCCTTTCTGTACCTTTTTTTTTTTTTTTTTTTTGAAGAGTTTAGGTGCGTACAATTTGGAGTTTTAGGTGGATGGTTTTCTCAATTAATGGGTTGGCCTGTTGGCACTAATACAACAATAATGAAAATATTATGCTAAACACCGAAAAGAAAAAAGGACTAAAACAAAGAAGAAGAAATCAACAAAAGTTGGGGATTGGGCTGAAAGATTATCTTAAATATCCTATTTGGGCTGGCATTTACTGTCCTAACTTGGTTCACAACTCACGAAATCCGGGTTTTAGACATTCAAATATCATTTGGTTGGTGATTCAATTCCGTTTTGAGTGTTCAGTTAATACTCGGTGTGATGCCACATAATATTACAATTTGGTGATATTCCTCTTCACTTGGAAGTGAGAGGTTTTTAGATTCGAATTTTGTGGATGGCGAGTTCGATACCAAATTAGGTTGCCCATTGTGTAACTTAGCCGAACTCTTTGCTAGAGATTTCAATAATAAATATATAAATTATTATATATATATGACTTGGTGCTGCATTGTGTAGCGTGTGTGTGCATGATAAAGGGTGTTGCAGTGCGCAACAAATGTAATTAGTTGAATGATTACAACTTTTAGTTAAAAGACATGATGCTTACTCAAATTGTATGAGTAGAATTAAAAGATATAAATAATCAAAATTTATTTTTTGAAAATTCTAAATAAAAGACAAGTCTTTTGGGTCAACACTATTAAGAAGGGTTGTATACCTTCAACTAAAATGAAGGGACTCGATGAATGAGTGCTTTAATGCTTATAAATACCTATTGTGGCATAATGTTTCACACACAATTTTCAAAAATTTGTTTCTAAATTATTTGCTCTCTTTTCTCTCCATCACATTCATACAATGTCTTTCTAGTTATTTCTAAGGGAATACAATTCGGTTTTGCTAATCGAATATTCCATACTTTGTTGTATCCTGGAAGTGACTTGCTAAGAACCCTTCAGCAAACTCATTCAAGTGGGGGCAAATAACACTTTAAGGAAACGATTCAAGTCGTATCTCAAAGTCATCATTCAAATTATTCTCTATATTTCTATATTTACTCTAATAATCTTAAAGTATTATTTTCATCATGAATAACAAATCTGATAACATGGCTTTGAAAATTATCAATCAAGATGTCTACAAGCTAGACAAATTTGATGGATCAAACTTCACCCAATGGAAGGATAAGATGCGTTTCATGCTTACCGTTCTAAACGTCATTTATGTGTTGGACCCGAAATTGGAGCTTATTCGTGAACCAAGTGACGAAGACTCGGACAAAATAGTTGCCGATCGAAAGAAGTGTGAAGAAGATGAATTGGTATGTCGATGACACATCTTGGGCACATTATCTGATCACTTATATGACCTGTACGCACACATTCAATCTCCAAATGAAATATGGGAAGCACTCGAACACAAGTACACAACGGAGAAAAGAAGTACCGATAAATTTTTAAAGTTCAAATATTATGAGTTCACTATGTTCGATAACAAACTCATCCTAGACCAAGTTCATGAATTATTGGTTTTGGTCTCAAAGCTTCGTGAACTTAGAATAGTTATTCCGGATCCTATGATAGTTGAGGCTATTATGGCAAAATTACCCCAAACATGGAATAATTATAGAAGGAAACTTCTACACATGGTGGAAGATATTAGTTTGAAGGATTTATAAAAGGGTATTCAAATTGAAAAAAAAACTCGAAATCGTGATAAGAATTTTGCAAATCAAGATTTCTCCAAAGTTCACGTTGTCGAAGGAAACAAATACAAAAAGAACTTCAAGGTCAAAATTGACAAAGGGAAGTTTAAAAAGACCAATTCCAACAATAATCAAAAGAATGCAAATGGTGTCTGCTACCATTGTGGAAAGAAAGGCCATTACATTCGTGATTGTAAACACAAATAAGCAAGTGAAGAATATGCCAATAAGACCAATAGCGCAAATATGGTGGAAAACTCTGGAATTGATAACATTGTTGCAATGGTATCAATGATGCATATTGGCATAATTACCGAACTGAATATGGCAACGGCAATAAAATCCTCTGATTGGTGGATCGACTCAGGAGATACTATACATGTGTGCAATGATAAGGCATAATTTATGACATATGAAGCATCAACGGACAATCAAGAGGTTTTAATGGGGAATCATAATTCCTCCAAAGTTCTAGAAAAAGGAACCGTTGAACTTCAGTTTACTTCTAGGAAGAAATTGACGTTGCTTAATGTACTGCATGTTCCAGAAATTAGAAAGAATCTTGTGTCTGCAAATTTATTATGTAAGAACAGTATAAAGACCGTTTTAGAGTCTGACAAGTTAATAATGTTGAAAAATGGAATGTTTGTTGGGAATGGGTATTCTTGTGATGAGATGTTCAAACTAAGTATTAATAATAAAGTGAATTCTTCTGCTTATATTGTTGAATCTCCCTCTCATTTATGACATTTACATTTAGCACATATAAATTTTATATCTTTAAAATACATGTGCACACTTGGTTTAATTGCTTGCAATGATGATTATAATGATAAATGTGAAACATATATTCAAGCGAAAATAACTAAGAAACCTTTTCCAACTGCTGAAAGAAATACAAATTTATTATACTTAATACATTCTGACATATGTGAATTTAATGGTATTTTAACAAGAGGAGGAAAAAGATATTTTATCACATTTATAGATGATTGTTCTAAGTTCACTTTTGTTAATTTATTGTCTAATAAAGATGAAGCCTTTGAGTGTTTTAAGCGCTATAAAGCCGAAGTTGAAAACCAAAAAGGAAGGAAAATTAAATGCCTTCGTAGTGATAGAGATGGTGAATATTTTTCACATGAATTTGATATTTTTTGTGAAGAGTATGATGTTATACATCAAAGAACTGCACCCTATACACCACAACAAAATGATTTGGCAGAAAGAAATAATAGGACACTCATTGAAATGATTAATTCTATGATGATTAATGCTAATACTCCAAAATATTTATGGGGTGAAGCATTGTTTACTGCATGCCATATACATAATAGAATTACATCTACGAAGGCACATGTGTCACCATATGAAATTTGGAAAGGAAGAAAACCAAATTTGTCATATTTGAGAGTATGGGGTTGTGTAGCCTTTTACAAGGCATTGGACCCTAAGAGATCCAAGTTGGGTCCAAGAGGAATTAAAAGCATATTTGTAGGATATGCAGATAATTCAAAGACATATAGGTTGCTTAATTTAAACTCAAATACAATAGTTGAGTATAGAGATGTCGAATTTATAGAAAATAAATTCTATAACGACTACTCAATGTTTGGAAAAGAGAAAGATCAAACACTTTTCTCTAATCCGGCTAGTAGTCATTCTCAAGGTGAGAAAAGAAAACAGTTTGAAACTGTTAATGAACCAAGGAAGAGCCAAATTGTAAGAAAAGAAAATGCTTTAGGCTCTGATTTTATTTCGTCTCAATCTATTATATTTTTAGGAGAGATGTAGTCAAACTAAGATTTTAAAGGATTTTAAAAGTGATAGATTTGATAGGATTTAGGCCTGGTTTGGTACTGAGGTGATTCTGAAAAAAGTTGGTATCAAAAAAAGCTGGGAGCTGTTTTTGTGTTTGGTAAACATTCAGCTTCAGCATTTTTTCACAGCTGCTTATTCTCACAAAAAAGCTGGCAAAACCCAGCTTTGAAAAACCGGTTTTTTTCACATCTGTTTTACATAAAAGTTTACCAAACACTATAATACTACTTTTTTTTTTTTTTTTTCAAAAGTACTTTTACAAAAAAGTTTACCAAACACTCTGCTACTTTATTTCACAGCTGCTTATTCTCACAGCACAGCAAAAGCAGTTTTTTTTCAAAGCACAGCAATACCAAACCAGCTCTTAAGAGGATTAAGGCCTAATTTGGTATTGAGGTGATTCTGAAAAAAGCTGGGAGCTGCTTATGTGTTTGGTAAACATTCTGCTTCAGCTGTTTTTTTCACAATTTTGAGTGAAAAAAAGCTAAAAACAAGAAGTTGCAAAACCTAGCTTTGAAAAACCGGCTTTTTTTCACATCTATTTTATATAAAAGTTTACCAAACACTATAATACTGCTCTTTTTTTTTTTTTTTTTTCAAAAGCACTTTTACAAAAAATTTTACCAAACACTCTGCTGCTTTATTTCACAGCTGCTTATTCTCACAGCACAGCAAAAGCAGCTTTTTTTCAAAGCACATCAATGCCAAACCAGCCCTAAAGTCTCATACAAAATTCATACGGATTTTTAAAGAATTTGAATGGATTGTGGTATTGTGGTGGAAGGATTTGAAATCCTAGGGGTGGATTCTTTGTAGTATTGGTTATATATACTTTTGACTCTCAAATCCCACAAAATCCACAACTTATTGAAATCCTCCAAAATCTTAATTTTTTGAATATGCTTAGATTTGGATGGATTTTAAAATCCTTTAAAATCTTTTAATTGACTACACCTAGATTTTAAAGGATTCTAAAATCCTTTAATTGACTACACCTAGATTTGAATGGATTCTAAAATCCTTTAAAATCTTTTAATTGACTACACTAGGATTTTAAAGTCTTTTCAAATCCTCTCAAATTCAAGTTTGACTACACCCCCCTTAGTTGAAGGAAATAGAAAAAAGGTTCTTAAAAAAATACCCATATTGTTGAATGTTGAGGATGATCTTAAAAGTCTAAGCAAAGCAATGACTTCAAGAGATGCAGCCTTTTGGAAAGAGGCTATAGATGATGAATTTGAATTATTGATATCTAATCAGACATGAGTTTTAGTAGACTTGCCTCAAGGATCAAAAGCAATAGGTTGTAAGTGGGTATTTAGAAAAAAAATACAATACAGACGGGTATATTCAGACATTTAAAGCTAGGATGGTTGCCAAAGGTTTTAAGCAAAAAAAAGGAATAGACTATTTTGATACATATGCACCAGTAGCTAGGCTCACATC